GCCAAAGTGCAGTCCTAGGGCCATATGCTGTTTTTGTGCACACACCCCTCATCTGTGTTTCCAGATAATAAAAGTCGAATTGCAGGCAGTGGATACAATTCATCTTTTTAATTAGTCACACTGTGACATTTAGTACTCTGAAATAACAATTTTTCAAAACTGAAAGAGAACCTCTAGCCATTTAGATTCTCTCTCTCCCCGTGTGTGTGCGTGCGTATGTGCGTGCGTGCATGTGTGCATGTGTGCGTGCATGTGCGTGTGTGTGTGTGTGTGTGCGTGCGTGCGTGTGCGTGTGCGTGTGTGCATGCTGGCATCTGTGCAACCGTGGAGAATTCCAGGGACAGAATATTGGTCCGAGTCCCACCGAAGTTGTCCACCACTGCTGTGAGCAACAGCCAAATGGGAGCTATACTTGGCAATATTTGCACAAATAACCCTCTTCTTTTTAAGTACAGTAGTAAAGTCAGAACACCCAGGTATATACTGAAAATGAGAAACAGTGTTGCCGTCAGGTAGTTTTGGCCCCTGGTTTTAATCCTGTCAGCTGGAGGGGTTTGCTCTTTGGATGGTAAGATGTAGTGCTTGAACTTACTTCAGAATGGGTTAGCCAGTCCTGCACCTGGGGCTATCCTCTTGCCCCCCCCCTTTTTAGTGGAGCATCACTGATGGGGGGGGGCTTGAATCTAATCCTTTCCTTTCTCTATAGAAGAAAAGGCTATGAACCCCTCCCCTGCATGTGGACCCAAGACACAGCATATACTTTAGGTGGCCTGTTATGCTTTTCCTTCACCTGCATGCAGTGTTTTGCACAGTACGGATCACTGCATGATAAGGGTCAAAGAGCACAGCTCCATTTCCCTGTCCATGGGTTGACTGCATAGATGTATTGCATGAACAACTCATCAGTAAAGGGGAGTTATGTGTATAATGAGAGTCAATGATGTACATATGTATGAGAACCAGTGTGGTCAATACAGGCTTGAACTGCTTGCTCATAGAAACTCTCTGGGGGTGGGGTGGCAATGGTAAACCAATCTTTGACAGTCTCACCTATCCTGGAAACCCTGTTAGCATCTCCAGAAAGCAGAAACTACTTGACACTACATGGCATACATATACATTCTTGAACTCAAGGGCTTGAATCCACCGGAATCAAACCTTTTGTGGTCTATGTTGTGTGCACTTTGTCACTCTTGCCATTTGCACTCTAAAGCATCTGATGCCTTACTGCACAAGCAGAAGTTGCATTTGAGCTGACTGCAATCACGACACATATAATGACAGCAGGAGGCGATCCTGTGTAATTACACTGGCCAGGAGTTTCCATTCTGCAAGTGAAAAGGGAGTGGATGGTGCGAATCCATCTCTGCAAGGCAACCAGAGTCCTTAGAGAACCACATGCATATGGGATTGTGGAAGCAAATGAATTCCTAGTCCATTCATTGTGACCAAACTTCCAGGGGGAATAACACATAGCCATACATATTTCTTGGCTGGCTGTGTAGCTCAGCGAATCAGAGCACCTGGTTGAAGAGCCAGGGGTTCAATTCTTCCCTATGCCTTGTGGGAGAAGAGTCAGGATCTGTGGCCTTAACCAAGATAGTCTCAGAGTGACAGCAGAAGAAAGGGCTGATAAGCCACGTCTGAGTACTCCATACCTAAGAAACCCTGGAGAAGGTTGCCCTAAGTCAAAACCAACCTGATGGCATATAATATAATTTTGTTGTTGTTTAGTTGTTTAGTCATGTCTGACTCTTCATGAACCCACAGACCAGAGCACGGCAGGCCCTCCTTTCTTCCACTGCCTCCCAGAGTTGGGTGAAATACATGTTGGTCGCTTCGGCGACACTGTCCAACCATCTCATCCTCTGTCGTCCCCTTCTCCTCTTGCCTTCACACTTTCCCAACTTCAGGGGCTTTTCTAGGGAGTCTTCTCTTCTCATGAGATGGCCAAAGTATTGGAGCCTCAGCTTCAGGATCTGTCCTTCCAGTGAGCACTCAGGGTTGATTTCTTTCCAAATGGATAGGTTTGTTCTCTTTGCAGTCCAGGGGACTCTCAAGAGCCTCCTTCAGCAACACAATTCAAAAGGCATCAATTCTTCTGCGGTCAGCCTTCTTTACGGTCTAGCTCTCACTTCCATACATCGCTAATGGAAAAATCATAGCTTTGACTATGCGGACCTTTGTCGGAAAGGTGATGTCTCTGCTTTTTAAGAAGCTGTCTAGGTTTGTCATCGCTTTCCTCCCAAGAAGCAGGCGTCTTTTAATTTCTTGGCTGCTGTCTCCATCTGCAGTGATTATGGAGCCCAAGAGCGTAAAATCTGTCATTGCCTCCATATCTTCCCCTTCTGTTTGCCAGGAGGTGATGAGACCAGTGGCTGTGATCTTAGTTTTTTTGATATTGAGCTTCAGACCATTTTTTGTGCTCTCCTCTTTCACTCTCATTAAGAGGTTCTTTAATTCCTCCTCAC